GCTGTTCTGATGGCTTTTAGTCAATACAGTAAAATACAATCAAGTTAAACAGTTTGAATCTTAAATAATCAGTTAAATAATCATGGCATGTTTTACATTGTCTTTAGTAAATGAACACAAGGAAGAACATTATTGAATCTTTTTTATTTATATGCATCAGTAATGCAAATAATAATCAGCTGTATTTGCATTTTTGAGTGATGATGCAAGACAATATGTTACGTTTTAACTACATGTAATGGTGGAAAGCACTTATAGTACTACACAGTTATAGTATGGTTAGTACATAATACTGTGCTTCTTATTCCTCCCCTTTTTGTTAGGAGTGAAACCCAAGACTGGCTGGGCTGTGGATCCATTCGGTCACACTCCTACCCAGGCTTACCTGCTGAGACAAGCCGGTCTATCTAACATGCTGATCCAGAGAGTACACTACACAGTGAAGAAACACTTCGCCTCTCAGAAGACCCTGGAGTTCTTCTGGAGACAGAACTGGGGTGAGCAACTGATCTTGATGTAGGAAATTGAGGATAAAGTTATAGAAAATGACTATGCTTTTATGCATTGCTTTCATATTTATGATGATTTTCTGTGGAACTTTAAACTAGTAAATATGGTGCATTTGAATATAGGTCACTTACAATAAAATACCTGACATTTCAGTTTGACTCAAGTGGCAAAATCAGTGTTAAGGGGAAAGCATCTAAAAAAGAAAAATGAAGTCACCACCATGTCACTCCAACCCTATACAGCTATTTTCTTCCATAGAACACGAATGAAGATGTTTTGCAGAATCATTTTGCAGTTCATTTTTGGGTGAACTGTCCCTTTAAGTCTCTGACTCTAAAACTGACTGTGTGTCAGAGTGGCCTCACACCTTTGATTGGAAATCTCTGTAGGAGCCTGTTCTAATCACATGAGCTGCTCGGTGGTGCCATTCACACTTCCCATTGACTGAATCCATCTTTTATTTAGTGATTACGTTGATTAAAACCTGGGTAGGTGGGGGTGCTCGCTACATTTAGCCTCATGATTTAGAACTAGAGGTCGAAGTGAGATAAATCCAGTTTCCCATGAAGCATCTGCAGCTGCTGGCCCTGGAGCAGTTGGTAACAGACCTAACAAAAGCTCGTCTCCCGTTCCAGATACATCTCCATCACTGGAGGTCATTCAGACCCTCACCCTGAAAGATAATCACACAAACTGAGATTTTGACAGGAGCTGTAATGATCAACCTCAACCAAATGCGCTTGAAGCTATGTTGTGGGTCTGCAATGGGTTGATATTGCTTGTCCAGCATGTTTTTTAACTTTCTGCTCGGGGTTAAACCCAGCGTTTTGATTGCTTGAGCTCCTCAGACTCCTCAGGAGGTCAGAAACCACACAGGAAGCTTGGTTAAATTAATGATAATAATGGTGCAGTGACCGTGCATCACACACCCTAGACTCTTTCCTCAGCATTTCATCATTTATGGCTGGATAATTATTGTTTGGTAACATCCTGCATGTAGCTACACGTCAATAGTGTTCAGCTGAACACCTCATGCCAAATGTTGTATCATGAAAAAGAAAAAAAACTCCAGTTTTTTGAGCTGTTACAAGGAATAAACCATGCAGAGTGTCAAATTTAGACACATTTGTGCCACGAATGTTGTTGCATTAGAAAACAAAGTACAAACTAAGTACAAAGCACAAAGTTCAAACCAAGTATTTTTCAAGCAAAATAAATGCACAGAAAAAATATTAATAGATTTTAAATAATAAAACAATTCATAGTGTTCAGATTGATGCATTTGGACACTTTTTAGTTATGAAGCATTATCAATGCGTTCCAAACAGCATACATTAATAATAAATGCATTAATAGAAATTAAAATGCAAAAATAAAATAATTAATTAATAAACAGAAGGGAGAACAACGGCAGCCATGTTGTAGAGTTGTTTCAATGACTATAAGGGCCCTTTAAAAATATTCTTTGCACTGCTGCAAAACCTTTCAGTCCAGACCACACTTCACAAGTCTGAAAATTGCAATTCATCTGTGGTTTCATAAAAATAATATCAATTATTATGAACTTTTTAAAACCTAAAAATAACCGGTTACAAATACAAAGGCTTTAAAGGTTAAAAATTTTAAGCATTTGTTTTTGTAACTGTTATTTTTGGTCTCATTATAATGTAAATTTGTTTGCTTTGTTCTTCTAATGAAGGATATGAAAGAAACAAAGGTGTATTACAGAAGCTTACCTAATAACTTTTCATTTATTTTTTAACTGAACTCACTAAGTACATTTGCTTATTGCTATACTGCTGAACTACCAACTGTTTCTCTTTTATTTTTTATGAATTCAGCTAATAGGCTATATGTTAAATATTAAAATGATTATTAAAATAAATCAAACGATAAAAAAATATTTAAAACATGAAACGTTTGAAAAGCAGACTTCAAAAAGTCTAATCATTTTAAAGCATTTATTTTAGTTAGTTTTGCATTATGAAAGTGTTTATTAGTGAGGCAAAATCATGTGTAAATATTTCATGTTAAGTATAACCTAATTAGCAGCATCAGCCTTTATGCATTTAGAAAGACACTAAGCCCTATGTCCAAATCTCTTACTATGTAGGGCAAAGTTTCTCAATCCGTAAGTGCCTATATTTAATGTGATGAACTACACCTGTGGTTACTGACCTCACTAAAAACCTCACTAAAAGTCTGTTTTTTGGAGCTGCTATATGTTGCTTCATTGGTCGTTATTCTCTAATGATTTGAATGAAAAATAAGAGCTGAGGGAAATGAGTAAAACGATACAAGGGCTGAATTGGAGCCAGCTTTTCTCAGAACGGCAAACAAAAGAGAAGTCAGAGGAAATGCCATCCCACATCCCATCTATTGTTTTCCATTGTCTGCCTGTTCAGTGTCGTGCATCTGTTTGAGTTATGCTGTTTTTTCCCAGACCTAGTGTTAAAAAACCCTGGAAAAATGGGCTCCGAACTTAGATCTCTCTGACTGTAACTGGTGCTGAACAAATATGATTACAGTTCATTTGGCTGTGACAGCGTGCTCTCTATGCCAGGCTGAATTAGCTTTCTACTCAATGTAATTCCATATATCACCATTTAACAGACAGCCAGACTACTCTGTGCTTCACATCTGGTCCCTTTTTTAAAGGAAAATCTTGCATTATTTATTCGCACAGCTTTTATGAAGGTCAGTCTGGAGCACATGCGGTGCTGAATGGGTAATTGAATATTTTTATTACAAATAAAATATGATTTGATTTTGACATTAGTGGATCATTTCATGATTTAAAGCCCTGAAAGTGAATGGACTTGTAGATGTTTGTCAAAATCGCACTATGAATTATGTGCAAACTAAACGTTTTCAGCGTGTAACAAGGGAAAATAGGAATTGATCCATCTTTAAGCAATTGGTTGTATCAGGGAAAAGTGGGTGTTGTGTACTTATTTTCAAGAAAGGCCCAAAATTGAAAGGGCTTGGTGACATCAGCAGAAAAGGAAATGAGTTTCAGAGTTATTGTATGATGCTATTTTATTTTACTTGCGTAATAACAATACTAACTGTAAAACTGAAATATATTAGTCTTTAGGTGCAGAATTGAAATAGTAAATTTGCGGCGTTGACCGACTGAGAGCTGCTTGATTTGAAAGTGATTCCTGCATAATCTGTGCCTCATCTATCGCTGCACTATTAACAGTAGACCGTGTACCTTTTTTTGTTCGTGAAATTTAGGTGAAATTTTGCCAGTGTGGCCACACAAGACTAGTAAGTTTGCATTTGTTTTTGATTTCAACAGATCAGGACTCAAGTTCAGATATTTTGTGTCACATGATGCCATTCTACAGCTACGATGTTCCCCATACATGTGGTCCTGACCCAAAAATCTGCTGCCAGTATGACTTTAAAAGGCTGCCGGGAGGAAGAATCAGCTGTCCATGGAGAATTCCTCCTCAGGCTATCACAGATAACAACGTACAGGAGAGGTACAGCCATACACACCAGTCACAGACATTAGGAGCTACCATATTTACTCATGGCGACCTAGAAATAACAATGATTGTTTCTAACTATGTCTTAAAAAGGTCTGTCTGTTTCAATAAGTTACAGTTTTTAATCCCTTTTTTGTGTCATTGTTTGTGGATTTGTGTTCCCTCAATTCTGATTAGTTTTAGATTTCCCTCCACTTAGTTTATTCTCTCCATGTGTAGAGCTCAGACGCTACTGGACCAGTACAGGAAGAAATCCAAACTTTTTCGGACCAATGTGCTGCTGGTACCACTTGGAGATGATTTCCGCTACACTGAAGCTGTTGAATGGGACCAACAGTTTGATAACTACCAGAAACTCTTTGACTACATGAATTCTCACCCTGAGCTTCATGTCCAGGTCTAGTATCCTTAGACAGACTTCAGTGTTTCGTTCAATTGACCTATCGGTAAGCCCCACCCCCCTTAGTTACTGTTGCTCACTCGGACAAACAAATGGAGTCTTACAATGACAGCTGTGAGTGAAAACCTTCTTCCGAGGTGTTTCTGATCAATTTGGGACACAGATGGACCTTCAAGTGGGACTTAAATATGCCATGGAGGGATATATAAAATATATTAAAATAAATATGTAAAAACGCAGATCACAATGCAAACGGGAGAATTATTTTACGGTCGTCACGATCGCAATGACAACATGCAGGATCAACACCGTTCATATACCGCAGAGTAAGATTAAATTAATTTACATTTAACCAGATTAATATGGAGAGTCACCGTCTAATATAGACCTTCGTTTATGTGTTTTTGACTTTCACTGCACGGTACATGACGTGAGAACAGTTCGCTATTTAGGTTTGTACGTTAGCATGGACTCACTAACTTTACCGTTAGCTAGTTTTAGCCAGAGATACCTTGCTAAAGCACAAGATGACAT